TTACTATATATTTCTAGAACTATACGTATCACTATACTACTATACGTATAATACTAATAATACTGATCTGCCCATCTCTATACAAAACCTATGTGATAATATGACTTAGAAAGACAGACATAACTATGAGTAACAATTAAATGAAACTATGAGCAAACTCCTAAAAAAAGTTTTATGTATATTGCTGATTTAGTACTAGTATTAGTATTATATATTAATGTGTATTTTAAGACAAACCAATCAACATTTTTGGAACAAAATAAAGGATTTATTTCCGTCAAATACTTCAGTCACGTCAATGACTAAAGTTTCGAGTTTCACCTTACTAATACTGACATAAGAAATCATTTTATTTATTTAAAGCATGATAACAAAAAAATTATTAATTTTTGGGTTTAAGAGTAACTTTAAAGTCAGTTACAATATTTATGAAACTATCAATAAATTTTAGTTGATTTTCTTTCTCATAATATTCAATATCATAATTTCTCAATAAACTAATAAGCAACGAAGCTACTGCAATTTTTGCCACGAAACGACCGGGACAGATACGTATACCACCGCCAAAAGGTGTATAAGTATATTTGCCTATTCTGTCCGCCTCATCTTTTAGAAACCGTTCCGGTTTGAATTGATCAGCATCTTCCCAAAAATCGGGGTTTTTCTGCAATCCATTAATATTTACTGCAACAAGTGTACCAGCTGGCCAATTATAGCCACCGATTTCTGCATTTTCTGATGTTGCCTGACGAAATAATACTGGTGATAGAGTGTGATATCTTAAAGCTTCTTTGACAACAGCTTGAGAATATTCCATTTTTTCATAATCTTCATATGTCATTGGACGTTTTGAATCATCGGCAAATACTTGGTTAATTTCTTCCAGCATCTTTTCTTTAACTTCTTTATGAGCCAAAATAAGATTGAGTCCTATGCAAACCATAATTCCTGTCTAAAAAATCAAAAAGTTAGAAAAGTTAGGAAAATTTGTATGTATGTATGTATTTTAATATATGATACTGTTGTTTGCGAAATCATTCAAAAACTTGGTCCTTTATCAATCACTGTTTTGACTTTTCTTTCTCATGCTAGAGGTTGGAACCGGTTTAAATCACCTTTTCAAAATCAGAACCGGTTTTAAACCGAATTTAATAAAAACCGGGCAACCGGTTATAAATAAAACCGCAAAACCGGTTATGTCGATTTGTACCCAAACCGGTTCCAACCTCTATCTCACACCATTCATTACATTTCTTGTAATACAAACAAATATATTGTACTTTTTTGTTTGTTAAACAGATCGTCAATTAACTTATTGGCATTTGCCAATTCATCAGTGTGTGTTGAAATTTCGTTATGTAACTAGTACAAATTTAGAAACCATCTCTAAAAATTAAAAATTTTATTGGTGTGTAATGTTACATCCGGGCATTGAGGGCATTGAATTTCAACACTGCAATTCATTCGCTAACTTTATTTTTTACATAATAATTTAATTGCCGATCTGTTATTTTTTGAGATTAACCAAGTAAAGAATAATACCCACCAAAAAAATGCAGGTCACTGATCACGTATCACCCATTATTTATTTATAACCAATTTTTTCGTTAAAACAATTTCAAATAAACTTTCTAAAATGAGTTTATTAAA